AACACAAATTGCAAAGTCTCGCAGACCCGAGCGGTCCTCGTGAAACCTGCCAATAGCCAAAGGGCTCCAGCACACGGCAGACACCTGTGACTGCCTGCTCCCTGAACCCCAGAGCATCCCTAAAACCTCACAGGTTGCCTCCCTGCCTCTTTCCACCGCTCCAGGCTTTCCTCTCCTCTGCATCTTCTCCAAACCCTCCTGCGGGCGCACGACTGCGGCTCAGCCCACGCGCTGCTCCCGGGCAGGCGCGCGGGCTTTGATAGTGGAGCGTGGCCCGCCTGTGCCATGCTCAGGCCTGTTGCCACGAGGGCTCCCTGGCCAAGGGGCTGGCACAGATCTTGCAGGGGAAGCACCAGCAGGAGGTGGTTGTGCTGTTACTTGCACAGGAGCAGAGCACACGGCCAAGCTGCAGCCCCTCCAGTGCTGTGCCTCGTCCTCCCCCTCTGCTTTGCGGTGCTAAATCATTCAACATGGAATAAGAGCTGCTCAAACTGAGGAGGAAGGGCTCCCAGAGGCAAACCTCACCTGGGAAGCTGCTTGGAAGCACTTCTGAATTGGCAAGAGTTGGCAATGGGGAATGAAGGGGGATTTGACAATGCTGATGCTGCTCCTCAGGAACAGGGACTCAAGAATGAGCGAGGAGAATTCACACATAACCTCCCTCCCCCTGAGGATCTGTCATTGCTGCAGCTCTGAGCCATTGTGGAGGGACAAGCAATACACCCACACGCCAACTCTGAGGAGCACGACAGGGCCAAGTGCCAGCTCTCCTCCTTCTCCATCAATCACCAGGAAGAGGGAGACAGATGTCTCCCTGAGGAGTTTGGAAGATGTCATCAAGGAGCAGGATAAATCAGGTCCCTGCATATACAACAGGGCAATTATTTACGGATCATCAAATATTGGCTCTAAAAACCCCAGGCATTAAACAAGAGCCTGTGCCAGGTTGTGTGTTTACCTTCTGCCTGCACCTCACATGCAGGAGAGATGGGTGACGATCAGCACCAGCCGTGCCCCAAACCCAGCACTCCTTTCCTGTGGCTGCTTCCTCTTGCCAGGGGATGGAAATATTTCAAGGAAATCCAATTTCTAGGTACAAATTGCAACTGCCCTGGAGCTCTCGGACAAGGACCTTCCCAGGTATGTCTGAGCTGGATTCAAAACTGCCTGGGTTTTATTTAAAACCTGTTTTCAGACTACTGAGTTTAGTGGAGTCACTGGTGAGGGCAAAGGGACCTACTCTGACGTGGTTCTGCCACCTTCTCCCTGGGGAATTGAGCAGGAAAGCACAGCCAGGTTCAGCCTGGCAGGACAACAGTGCAGCAGGTGTGGGTAGGGACCCACTGGGATCCTGGCTGCAGGGATGCTGTGCTGTGGCACAGGTGCTGCCCCAAGCCAAAGAAGGAAGAGTAGGTATGACCTGATCTCAGCCACTCTCTGCCTCAGGGCTCCCACCTCTGCAAAACCCTGGTTCAGTTTCTGGCTGGGCCTGGCCATCCCTGACAGGAGCAGCAGCAAAGTGGCAGCAGGCAGTGCCTGGTGGGATGCCCTTATAAGAGCAAACTCGAGCTCCCAGTCATAAACGAAACCCTTCTCTTTCATTTACTCATCTGACCTGGCGGTGCTGGAACTGATAATGCTGGTTTCCTTTTAAGCAGAGGCCAGTCATAAATAAAATAAACCAGGCATGCTTTGTGTTTCCACTCCCTTGCCTTTCATCCCCGCTCCTCAAAGCCGTGGAAGGGAAGTCCTGAGCGGGGAACAGGAGCTGGGCCAGGGACAGCAGCAGCTCCAGGCTTGGCCTCAGCTGCACTTGTGGGGGTTCGTGGCCCTGTCAAGGGGTGAGATCACCTTCCCCTTTCCACCAGTGTGGGGAAAGAGCAAAGAGAGGCAGAGACTTCACTTGCAATGAGTTGCATTCACGGCACTGTCCGGGACAGAACCAGGCTCCTTTTCTTACCATCCACAAGAATAAAAGCAGAATTCCATACCCAGCAGCTACCCGGACAGCTGCTGGGGGAGAGAACATCCCTTCCCTTCCCCAGCACCAGTGCCTGACTGGGAGGATGGTGGGACATTATTGTAAATGCAGGCGAACCCAATGGGAAGAAATGCTGATGTCTGACTGAATTCAGAAGGCTGAATTGTTTCTTTATTATAACTATGCTAAAATATATTAATATACCATATAAAAGGAGGATACTAAAACGACATACTGCTTTCTCTGACTCTGACACAACTCGTGACCCTCTCTGAGAGCCCAGCCCCAGGTGGGTTGGATTGGCCACCAGGCTCAAACAATCCTCACCAGAATCCAACCAAGCATCACCCCAGGTAAACAATTCTCCAAACACATTCCACATGGGAAAAACAAGGAGCAGAAATAGAAATTGTGTTTGCTCTTTCATTTCTCTCCGTGCGCCTCTATGAAAAATCCTGAGAGGGAGAGAAATGTGCTTGCCACAGGACATGCTACCAGGAGGCCAAAGAATGGAAAGTCTGAGGAGCACATGGAGCACATGGTCCCCAGGAGCTGCCAGCGCCGAGGCCGCTCTCGTTAGCGGGGCTGACACGCAGTGAGGGGCAGGAGGCTCAGCTGGAGCCCAGCAGCGTGTGCCAGGGTGTCAGCTTCCCCCTGTTTCTCTTGCCACCTTACCGGGTGTGATGTTTTCCTTCGGGGCTCTCTGATGAGCTGCCTTGGGATGCTTGGGCTGAGCAGCTGCAAGGGGCTCCTGCCAGAGAGCCTGGAGTCTCCTTACAGCAGGGATGAGAGCTGCAGGCTGCAGCACTGACCCCTGTCCCAGAGCAGCAGCAGGGGTTGCATCAGACTCTTCCAGAGTTAGAGGAGAGTTAGAGTTAGAACCATGTGTGAATTTTGTTGTACTTTATCTCAGGGATTTGCCTGCACTCTCCAGCCCTCTCCTGGCCAGTTCTGTAAAGCACACCAGTATGAGATCACAGAAACAGAGAGATACCACAGCCTGTGGCACCAAGGTTTAACTCACAAATGTTTTATAGGTATTTTCTCTCCCATCCTAAGCCTGGAGGAGCATTCACAGCATCCAGCCCTGGCATAGCACTGACACGGCCAGTCCTTTGTAGACAGCAATGCTGGAGAGAGATCCCAAGTTATTGCAGAGCCATAGATCTGGGGGAAAGGGAATGGGGGAGAGCCAGCAAAGCAACATCCCAAACCCTTCCTGGGGCAACACGTTCCTAAAGCAGCATGGCCAGAGCACAGGGCTGACCTCTGTTTGCACAGGGGAGGTTTAGCAATTCCCTCAAGAAGATGCAATGGCTACAGGAGGTGTAAATACTGCCAGGCAGCAGATAAGCAAGTCTGGAGAAGCCTTGCACAGAGGTGTGCTCTGGGGAAATCATAGCCCCTGATTTGGTCTGGTGGGAAGCAGCTCTGGGAGGTCTGTCTGGATTTGGGGTGACCCAGACTCACCCTTTGAGAAGAAGCTGAGCCTGCCTGAACACAACCTGCTCTGCAGTGCCCAAGCCTTGCTCCATCCACTGATACCACTAACATAATCATTATAAACTGGACACACTAATTTAGCTAGCAGACCCCTCCTTTCCTACACACAGGACAGCAGTTCTGCTTGGCTCTGCCCACCATCACTGGGAGTATCTCAAAAGCTGCTCTTTCTCCCTGCAGCCCCTTGCAGGTAGCAGAAATGAGGAGGGAGTGATGATGTGGGGGCTGAAAGCACAATATGGGGTTCAGGGAAAGATGCAGCTCGACAGATAGGAGACACCAATGTCCGTCATCCTTCAGCAACGCCAGGAGTGGCAGTGGGATGTCCTGTCCGTGTCCCTGTCCTTCCAACACCACCCGGGCCCCTCTGCAGCTGGCTCAGGCTCCTTGCACGTCCCAATGCTGCCATCTGTAGCACAGAGCTCTGCTCCTGCTCCAGCACAGCGGGAGAGACCCGGGAGGAGCTCAGCTTCACAAGGCTTGGTTTTGTGAGTCCAAATGAGCCAGTCCTGGCCTGGGACTTGGCTTTTTCAGTCTCAAGAGAGGCTCTTGGCTTCTATGTCTGCTGAATTGCCGTTTAGTTGCCTGCCAAGGGCACCAGAGGTTGCAATAGTAGTTATCATTCTGCTTATCTGCCAGAAATAAACATTAAATAATACCCAGCGTTGTGGCCTATGCACTAAAGGGGTTTCAGTCCACAAAAGCCGTGCATTCCTGTAGGACCAGCCAAGGGCCATCACAGCCTCCCATGCATACAGAGATAGGGACAGTGCTTAATGGTTTTAAGACATTGACACTGCGGGAAGGGGGGAGGATGCACAGCCATCCCTCCCTTCCCCAGCTTATGAAAACACCTCATCACTGAAACATTCATTTCAACGCTGCTCATTTCTTGGTGCATTTCCATGTCAGGAAATATTGGACAAAGGCTCCCTCACCCTGCTCCCAAATCCCTGTATTGTCCCCATCAGGGAGGGGAAATGCGGCAGCGGGGCATGCTGAGCTCAGCACAGCAGCATCCCGAGCCTGGCCGGCCCCGGGGCGCCACGAGGGGGAAAAGTGGCTGTGACAAAGCTGGCATCAGCTCATTTCAGGCCAGGCTGTGACTCACAAAAAGAGAAAAAAGAAAACGGGAGGAAACGGCAATCTCCGATGGTCGGGGTGTAGCTGAGCCCCTGTCGGAGGAACCACTTCTCCTCTGTCACCTCCCTTCTCTCTGGAGCTTGAGGTGGATCTGACTGCTGTTGTTTGGGAGTCCCCATCTCTCCCTCGTGCCTCAGACCCCCCTGACCCCCCGGATCACCCGGCTCCATCACTCAGAGCCCAGCACCGCGGGCGGCAGCGGGGCCGGATTAGCCGGGCTGGCCCCGCCGGGCTCAGCGGGATTTGCTGCTCCCATCCCGGCTGTGACAGGAGACCTCAGCCCTGGTGATGCCAACCCCGCACACGTGGGATGCTCCCGGCCGGCAGCATCCATAAAAACCCCTCTGAGCGTGCCCCGGGCTGGGCTGCGGCGATGGCATTGCGGGTGAGCGCTGGGGACGCGGTGTGACAGCGCCGGGTGGCTGGGGGGACAGCACGGGTCTGCCCGCGGGTAAAGGAAGGCGCGACAGAAGTGCCAGACAGGTGGAAATCCTGAATAACACATGGGTGCTGCTTAGAGTGCTGCTCCTCTATGTCAGTCTGGTCCAGGCTAGTGCAAAACTGAGTTTTGCGGTGCTCAGTAACAGGCAATAAAACAGATTTTCATCCAGCAGCAAAAGGGGAACAGCTCTTTCCTGTGTGTGCTGTGTCTCTTGCTGGGGTTGGTGTAATGATTGCAAATTAAGGGTCAAGGCAAGGTGAACCTGGGTGCTGCCATCGTGCCCTTTGAATCCAGAACTCGTCAGCTCCAGCAGTTCTCTGTGCCTCACCAGGGGGACACTGATCAGAGCCTTTCAGTGCCCATGTGTGGGGTCCCAAAAAGTAGCCAGGCACGAGGGTATGAGGTTGGTCATCGCCAACTCCTGCCCAAATGTTTCAGCTCCTGCCTGAAAACATGCATATCCCAAAAAAAGCATTGGAAATAAAACTCGTGGCAGAGGAAGAAACAGGGGAGTTGAAGTCCTGAGCTATAGGAAGGGGGAAACAGGCACACAACAAGGCTGGGGAAATTTTCCTAATGTGAGCAAGTTTGCAAGAGGGGATGCTCAGAAATGAAAGATCATTAGAGTGCTAAAAAGAAAAAAAGTGGGGTGAAATGGCAAGAACTCCTTATTAAAATGAGTTATTTAATAAAAATATGAATTATTCAAATAGGAACAATTTCCAGCTCATTTTATGCAAGTTTAACCTTGGAGATGGGGAGAGCACGTGGAACAGGGGCTCAAGAATCAGCCGTGTAACACTGGATGAGCTCAGACTGGATGGCATTTTACACCTGTTCCTCTGCTCCAAAGCATCACAAAGTTTTCTGCTTCAGATTTTGTATTGCTCAGGTGCAGAGAGAAGCAGAATATCTTTGTGTCCTGACAACAATGAAGGCATTCAAGTTCTTTAATTTTTGCTTTCTGATCCCGCTCAGCTCTTTACAAAAGACCTTGGGGACAGCAAATCCCACCTCATCAACTGAATGTCATAGAAACTTGATTTCTTATCAGGTTAGAATCTCTGAGATTATTTAGGAGTGAGAAAAACATGGGGATAGAGAATGTGCCTGTGTGGGAAGGAGAGAGAAAGAAATTACCATGAAAATGTGAGAAAGAAGTGTAAGGACTGAGTGGGGCACTGCCTCTCTGCCACCTCTCTGTGTCCTCCTCCTTGTCTGCAGTTTGAGGCCCTGCACCCGGAGGGAATCTGTCCTGGATGGAGCATCGTGGTCAAGGGTGAGACCAGTTCCAGCTCAAGCATGTAAGGACATGCTCTGCTCCCAGCTCTCCTGGCTCACAAGGGTCAGAAGCATCGTTCACAGCTCTCCATCCCTTTTCTCTCACTCTCTTTAGGTTTGAAATTAATTTGCTCTGTGAGCCTGGAGACCAGATCGCTCTCCACTTTAACCCTCGCCTCTCCAGCTCCAGAATCGTCTGCAACTCCTTCCTCAACAGCCACTGGGGGCAAGAAGAGGTTAACAGCACCTTCCCCTTCAAAGCCAAGGAGCCCTTTCAGGTAACTCTGTCACCCCACAGATCCCCTCAGGTGTAACAGAAATAACCCAGCCAATATTGGGGTGCTCCCCATTGCCTTTCCTGCCAACACCATACCCAGCAACATCCCCTCTCTGGCTTTCTCTCCTGTTAATAATCCCATTACAACCTGGTGATTTATAACCAACTCTGGCACAGACGTGCAGACCTCCAGCAATAATCCCTGGATGATGTATTTGTTTTCAATTTAGGCTTTGCTTTACCATCACATTTTGTTATCATGAAAGGAAAAACTCAGTTATTCCCTCTTTTTGTCCAGAGTGGGGGTGAGCAGTGTGTGTGTCAGTTTGAAGTGGATGAATAGATCCAGCAGTTCCCTGATGTAATGGAAGGAAGGTCCAGTAAGGCCACATGAACATAGCACAGTCTCTCTTTCAGGTTGAAATCTACTCTGACCAGGACTATTTCCACGTTTTCATCAATGAAAACAAAGTCCTGCAGTACAAGCATCGGCAGAAGAATCTTTCGTCCATCACCAAGTTGCAGATTCTCGATGATATTGACATTTCTTCAGTGGAAATCACCAAACGAGGTCTTTACTAGAGACCAGAGCTGGGACTCTCTCACAGACCATTCCCCCTTAAGCTTCTGATTCAGTCATTTCCTCCCCATTTCCACATTCCACCACCAGCCAGGGAGATAGCCATGTGTCCTCCCAGTGGAAGGGATGGTCATTGCCATCACCCAGCCACATTGCTGACCATAGCCCAGCCCATCAAAGACCTTCTGCCCCTACACCTTCAGGTGCACAACAGGCTTTGTAGGTCTGATCATCTTTGCTGCACATCCAAATCTGTCTTCAGTAGTCTGGACACCTGAATAACACCTTAGAAATTGTGTTTGCCTGAGAGTAGGGTGTGCATGAGCACCTCAGCTCATGCACATGAGCTAATGCCTCAGCTGGGCACATGGGGAATGTGGATGTTAGGGGTGGAAAGGGATTTTTCTTTCCAGGAGCTGGGTAAGAATGATACCAGATTTGCCAATAAAATTAACCAAGGAAATCCCTGCTGAGATATCCCTCCCTGGGCAGATCAATCTCATCATTCATCCCCTGCCAATCCAGGCACCTGGCATGAGCAGGGTTGGTGACTGGGCAAGAGGACACTGTTGAGGGAAGTGTGATTTTGGCTCTGGGAAAATACTGGTTTTTTTTGTTGTTGTTGTTTGTTTTGAGGGCTAATACAAAGTGAATGTCCCTGGTATGCAGAACAGTGTGATAAGATTCAGCTTGCCAGGTGTTGCCTGGAATTCCTTTCACCAGCTGAGAGATGTTTGCTCAGCCCTACTCCTGCCAACTCCAGGCTTCTCACACAGACCCCCAGAGTGATGTAGTGTGTCAGAGAAGGGTAAGAGCTTGGGGAGACACATAAAAGCACATGGTTCCTCCACCATGCACCAGAAATGCAGCTGGACTCCAAACAAAAGGAACTGAGTAAACCAGGGTCTAGAAATTCTGATAAGCTTGGAATGAACAGAGTGCTTGGGGATAAGCATGGATAGCCTGTGGCTTTTCTCTGCTTTATTGTTTTCTTTTCTCCCCCTTTATAGTTGTCTTTCAAAACAATCCACTTATTCCTTGCACCCTTTTCTCTTTTCCAGCCTTGGAGCACAACATATTTGTGACTCCTTGACCAGCCCACAGCAGAGTAAAAGATGTTCTTTTTACTTTGTTGTAATTACACACATAATAAACAGCATAATGTCATGGTGTTAAATCTGAGCAGGAACTTATTCCAAAAATGCACTTACAGCTGCCCCTAATCACTTTTTTATTCCCCATATATGACAGAACACATTCCTGATGGAAAAGGCAAAGATGATCCTGCCTTGCCAGTCCTTTTCATTGAGGAGAGATCACTTAATAAGAAGTCATCCCTGATCCATCCTTGCCTTTGGATGAGATCTCTGAAGATCTCTTTTCTCAGTGCTCAAATTGGCCATTCCCAACACTTCCTTCTATTTACAGCTTCAAGGACTTGTGAGGAAGAGGTGGCTGTAGAAAACCACAACACATGATGCCATAAACCTGACATTCATGAACCTGTTAAGAAGTTTGTGGTGTTTTTCCAGACTATCAAAAGCACTCATGGGAAACCATCCTGTTCTTGTAGCAAAGGGCTCATTGGGAACACAAAATGGTGCCAAATGGTACCTTTTCCCTCCAAAAAGAACAGAAAACATGTTTTGGAAATGGCAGTGGTCTTAACAGCAAGTCAGGAAAGTTGGAGATGGTGAGACTTCCTCTGGCCTGGAATAAATCCATCACCACTGGGACAAGAGAGTCGACTCAAATTCTGGTTGTTCTGATATAACCCAAGGCTTCAGCACACTTTGCTCTCATGGCCATGCCTTCAGCAAAACAGGCACAAACCCAGACAAAGCCAGGCCTGCAGGGATCTCTGTGTCATCCATCTGATAATGCTGAGCAGCATTTGAAAGAAATTGTCTTTTCTATTTGTGCTTTTTTTGGGGGCTGATAAAGACAGATCATTTTTCATGGAGGAAAAGTGACTAAATGATTTATAAGGGTAATACTTTGTACTTATATGGCCACTAGCTGCATTCATAGCCCCTGCTGCAGAAACACCCCACAATTCCATTGTTCCCCAGAAATGAGCACAAAGGACCACAGACAGGGCAAAAACATTTCAAGTACAAATAAATAAAGAGATGTCACAAAAATCAGGCAGAGACAGAGATTATGCCCTGACTCCTGGACACGTCCCCGCCAGCTCCTGCCAGCAGCTGATCTCACTCCATTGCCATCTGCACCAAGAGAGCCCAGCCTCTCCTGACACATCCCCAGCTCTGCTGCTGCCTTCAGGCCTTTATCTGCTGCCTCCTCCAGCCAAAACACAGCCAAGGGTGAAGGGGGCAGAAGAGCAAGAGAGGCCTGGGAATCTACAGAGCCCTGCTGGAAGCAAAACCTAAGGGCTGGCTGTTTATAGCTGGTTTGCAGAGTTTTATGGGGAATGAGATGCCCTCCAAGTCTGTGACCCTCATCTGTCCCGTGAGGAAAAACTCCAGAAAAAAATTAAGCCTTGCAATTACAGTGGTCAGTGAAACCTCCTGGAGCAGGCTGGCACACCAGGCGTGCAGGGAGGCAGCATCTGCTGGTACTGAGGGGATCCAAGGGAACAAATTAACCCTTCCTCCACATTTCAGTCAGCCTTCCTGTTCATGGCCTGGGGGGAGAACTGATGAAGACAAGCTCCTGCCCAGGGTGTTTTGAGGAGTGGAGGCCTTTTGAAGGGAAAGGGGCTGCAGCAGCTGGAGGTGCAGCACTGGAGGATCCCACCAGAATTTCACTGCCCAGCCTTGAGGTCAACTCTGCATTTTTGCTGTGGCCAAGTTGTGCAGAGGAGCCAGCTGGAATGTTCCAGAGAGAACACTGCTGTGGGATGGGACAGGGACTCTCCTAGTCAGGATCTGCAGATAAAGCAGCAGTTGCTGCTTGTGAGGCTTACAGAAAGCAGGAGGGGATACCTGGGAAACAGAGATGTTTCTCAGGAGGCACAACTGACAGAAGTGATGACTTCCCACATGGGTTCTCCCTTTCCCACCCATTCTCCTCACTTGAATTGAATCTGCAGAGCTCAGAAATGCTCTGGTTCATCCCCAGATCAACAAGGGGAAAGTCAGGCTCATAATCCTTCGTGCTTGAGCTGTGCCAGAGCTCCAGGGGCCAAGGGTCCCTCTGGCGGTTTCACAGATCTCCTGTGGAGCATCTGCTGCTGTGTGAGCAGAGCAGCTCCTGGGTGCCACTGAGAGCACTGGCAGTCACCACACACCCAGCAGTGTCCTCATACACAGGCTGCTGAGCAAACAGCTCCCTGGTCAGCCCGGTCACATCTCAGCAGCACAGCACAGCCTGGGGACATCCTGACTGACCCCATGGCAGCCTCAGCAAGCAACCACTGAATATCAGCCTGGCTCCTGCCTGGAGGCAGGAAACTGGGGGAAAAGGGCAAGGACTTGTTGCCAAAGCAGTGACAAAGACTTTCAGGAAAGTTCTAAAAAAAAGAACAAAGTCACACCGGTTGCATCTGCCCCATACTCACTTTGCAACTCGATACCTTTTCTTTCAACCCCCGTTTTCTTTCTTTTCCACCTCTGTACAAAAACCCCCCAAACCTACCAAATTTGATGCTGGGTGTTTAGCTACTTCCTCGGTGCTAGAAGGCAGCTCTGGTGAAGAAAGGCAGGAGGAGGGAAGTTCTTAACCATTTAATTAAAAATTCCCTTTCTCCTCCCATTTCAATACCCCCCTGAGCATCTCCTGATGGGAACAGTTGGGTCACAGGAGAAATTTTTCTCTTCACTCATACACAGCAGCTGTGTTGTGGCACAGCTCAGTGACCCTGGCCCCTTGTCTATGGCATCTCTAATTTCCCCCATCCCCCAAGGCTGTTTTCCAGCACCTGCTAGAAGTGCAGACCTTATTGGCAGTGACTTTCTGCATTGCATCTCTGAGTCCCTATCTAAGAAGTTGCTTATTCAACCCTTGTGGGCTGAACTCCTTAAATGCTCAGGAATCATAGGTGTTTGCTGGCAGGACTGAGGAACATGGAGAGCAAATGTCCAGCCTTTTTCTGAAGAGTGTGAGGAAAATAAAACAAGAGGAAAGTAGTAACAAAACCAAAAGGAGTAGTAACTCTGAGTTCTGGTGGTTAAGGGGAATTTCTGAGGCTACAGGCAGCCAGAATGCAGCTAGAAGAGTCTCTGCAGGAAAACAGGAGTGTTTTATTGCAATTAAAGAGAGGCTTGTAAAGCTATTTTAACTCAGCATCTCCATCCAGAGCCAGCTCAGACAGAAAAGCACACCTCCCAGCCCTGATTCTGTATGCAGGGTGGCAGGTACCAGCTCCAGACATGAAAGGCTGGAGAGGGATTATTTTCTGAAAGAAAGGCTCTGGTCTAGAAGTTGAAGAATTGGAAGCTGATGGTATCACTTTATTTGGCAGCTGAGTTATTGTGCTTCAATACTGCCTGAGGAAAGCGTGACAGAAATTATCCTGATGCCCAGATTTGCTGGCCCTCCACTCCCACAGTCTGTCCAGGACCCTCTTGCCAAAGCCAGATGCAATTTATCATGTTATTTCTTCAAGCTATATGGACATCAGTAGCCAAATCTCTGGTTTTAGCAGAGGACAAGACAACAGCCTGTGGAGATCCTAAATGTTTTCTCTGCATCATTACATTATTGCAAGACTTTTGGGGTCTTAAAAATCACTTACAAAGATCCAAGTATAAAAAGAACTATCATAACACTCTTGTGCAGGTTGTCAGAATCCTGGACATCCCTCTGGCTGCCCTGGCTCTCTTGAGACCCTGGCATGAAGTCAAAAACATCTGTGACTTCAATTTCAGCCCATGGAAAAAACTGCCAACTCTGTATGAGGAATTATAAGTCACAAGGATTTGAGTAGTGTGATATTTGAATTAACACAGGGTGAAAAAGTAGAATTTGGGGATTTTCAGAATGTAGTTCAGGGGGTCAAGATGGAGGGATTTGGGCATGTCGTGGCTTTCTTCTCCTT